GACACCTGGTCTAACAACAAGCCCAGCAAAGACCAGCGCTTGCCAGTCCTTCATGGGAGCTGGGGATCTGTTTCAGTGGAACTGTAACAGAAAGCCACTGTTAGGAGGACTCCAGGTCCCTGCCAATGGGAGGTGTCAGCTCCAGGAAGCTGTATGACACAGGGTAGGAAATCCATGCACAGAAATGGCAGAGCGCATCTGCCCAACAAATAGAACAAGAAATGAGCCCAAGTACAGAAGAGGTTCTGGAAACGTATGGATGTGTGTGAATGTGCATGTGCCTCTGTGTGTGCATGTGTGATAAAAAGCAAAAATAAAGAAATAAAGGTTTTTAGTAGGCCCACATTCCTCTTCAAAAGAAATGCCCCTCCTTCTTCCCAGAGCCAGTGGAACCTCCTCCTCTCCTGATTCTCCCTTCTTCTGCTTCTTGGGAATATCAGCTGCCTCTGTGCAGCTCTGACGGATGCACCCACAATCACGCCATTCTGGTGCAAAGTGCCTGAAGCCTCGTGTTCTCACCCCAGCAGAGCTGTCTCCTGGTGCTAGCTAGGATGTTCCTGTCTAAACGTTACAAAGTACCCGGCTTGCTGTCAGAGATCTCACTTTAAATGGCCGAAATCACATGATAAATGGTGTGAAAATTTTATGGTCCTTCCGTCAGGCACCGTAATTTACTCTCACATAATGCACAGTTAGAAGAACCAAAAGGAACCATCCCACCAGGGCAGACAGTGCAGAGACAGGCCCTCCGCCACTCTCCGGCCAGAGCATTATGTGCATCCAATGAGAAAGCTGCTTCCACGGGCGAGAAAACAACCTCTTGATCTTGCAAAATGTTTTTGGACACCTAAAGGCTCTTTTATTACTCTGGCTGATTAAAATGAAAAGTTTAAACGACTAAAACGTTCTTTTTGATGAGTTTTTGCCATGAACTATGGACCTCGTAGTCCAGTGGGACTGGAGCCCTTTGATCTGGGCACTCACATAAATTCAGAGCCATAAAACATCATTGGATTTGATTTTACTGGTGTGGCTGATGTTGCCAGATTTGTAATACAATCTCGCCTTCTCCTCCCTCAGCGGTGAGCCCATCCACCATTGCTTTACAGCAGGAATAAAGGAGTTCCTATTTGCCTTCGGTTCTCAAACTTCAAGACTGAGCCCCTTTCCTAAAAATCAGCGCTGTGTTATACTCATCAAGACTAGAATCAGTGCCACTTGATGGGTGCAGAAAAAAATACTGAAAGGAAAAGCCCATTCTGCATTATAATAGTTACAGATTTTTCACTACAGAAGACAGAAGGGGATAGGGTTGAAGACAACAACACAAGTTCAAAGTAGGAAAATGAGAGTCAGCTTTAGAATTCACAAATTTCCAGCAGGACTAACTGAAAACAGATTAGAAAACCAGAAGTCTCTCAGGTTATTTATTAGTGACTGACAGGTCATGTCTAAGTTTTTAAACTTGATTTAGCAAAAACAAAGAAAAACTTGTACGTGTGGTAAAAATAACGAAACATTTAACATTTGTTTGGTGAAAAGACAAGCAATAATAGAAATTAGACACTGATTCCTCTCTCCTAATCTTCTGGTATCATATGCAGTACCATATTCCTTTAACTCCTAATTGAGAAATAAAATCTTACTATAGAAGACCTACCAGGGAGTAAGAGTACAGATCATTTTTAAAAGATCTATATTCCAAAGACCAAAAAAATTGATAGTAGTTCCTATTCACATTTTATCTAGTTCAGCCTAAGTCTGGGCTCAGCTACAAAGACCCATGATACATTGAACATCTCCCACACAGGGAATACTCATGTGAATAAACCAGTAACCATAATTTAAATTTCCATGGATTTCCTAAAGGCTGAAAACGGGTCACCAAAACCCCTCTCTAAGTGACACAGGACCTGAGTCATGAGAAAGTCACCCAAGAATGCGTTCTGCAGGCTCCCGGGGCCTGGCTTGTGCAGCTGCAATCCCTTGTGCCTGGCCTGAGGCTCCAGTGAACATTCTGGAACGCTGTGTACAGGAGCACCATGTCCCCCTCTCCTGCCTTTTGATGGGACCATGTTACATGAAGTCACATCCAACAAGTCGAAGCATGACAAACACGCCAGCAGCGTATGCCTGTAATCCTAGCGACTCAGGAGGCTGAGCTCTGAGGATCATGGTTCAAAGCCAGCCCGGGAAGGAGCATTTGTGAGAGACTCTTTCTCTAGTTAACCACCAGAAAACCAGAAGTGGAGTCATGACTCAGTCATAAAGCACTAGCCTTGAGCAAAAAGCTCAGGGACAGCGCCCAGGCTCTGAGTTCAAGCTCCATGATAGACACTCCCCCCCTCCAAAAAAAAGCCAAAGAGCATCAACTTTATATAATTCAACTGACTAACTTCCACTACCAAGTTTGGAAAAAGGCCATTATTGTATGTTTTCTCAATGCTTTGAAAGCTGTTTATACGATCTGCTTGTAGCTGAGGTGTCAGAAGCAATCACTGAAACAAAACAAACAGAACCGTCTCCCGCAGCATCCCGGACAGTGTGAGCCCCGGCCCGGCCAGTATGCTGGGTGCCTGGATGCAGGGTGTGTGTTGGGTTCGGATGAGAGACGCATATCCAAGAAAGCACATCCAACTTTCTCGCTTCATGCTTGGACAGGCAGTGAGGGCATCAGCACCCCTCCCCCTCCTCCCTTCAGTGAGGAGTCTCTCCCGCAGGGCACAGCCGCCCCTTCGCGGGAGCCAGCGACACCTCTACACGGACGGCACGCATCCTCTCCGCAGCAGCAGACAGGGAGAGCTTCACAACCCAGCAACCTCCTCTGCACACAATTGAGCCGTTGAGCCTCACTGTTCTGAGAATGACATTGGGGATGGAACTTTGAAAAGACCCGGGAGGCCTCTTGCCTTCAAACCACAGGCCAAGGCCAATCTGTAGAGCAGCAAATAAGCAAACCAGCATTTCTTTAAATATGAGGGTTGATGCATCAGCGATCGTAAGTCCTGCTTTCTTACACACATGTGCACACACCAGTGCACAAACACACAACCCAGGCCATAGCCTCGCCCTGCCAGCACTCGGCATGCCCAGTCACGTGGGCCTCCGTGCAGTCCTTCAAACTCCCTGAGCTCTTCCACACTCCCCCACGCTGTCCCGCACAGCATTTGCGCCCAGTAGGAACTTTATCTATAGGTACTGAAGGAGTGGTAGAGACCATCTTTTTAAGTTAATTTTTTTGGTGCCAGTCCTAGGGCTTCAACTTAGTGCAGGGTATTCTCCCTGAGCTTTTGTGCTCAAGACTGGTGCTCTACCACTTGAATCGCAGCTCAGCTTCCAGCTTTGTGATGGTCAATTGAAGGTCAGAGTCTTACATATTTTCCTGACTGGGCTGGCTTCAAACTGTGATCCTCAGGTTTTAGCCTTCTGAGTATAGCTAGGATTACAGGTGTGAGACTGGCACTTAGCCTTGATATTCCATTTTAAAACAGCAACTGATGCTTAATATCCTAAGGCTTTATGTAGATGGTCCTTGTCTTCTATCACATAGAGAGAGAGAGAGAGAGAGAGAGAGAGAGAGAGAGAGAGAGAGAGTGTGTGTGTGTGTGTGTACACAGGCTGCATTGGGAAGTAGACTCTGCATTCTATACCTGCATTGTTAAGACATGCACAGACTTTCTTGTGCAGAGTTCCCTGTGTGACAAGCTAAGTTAGAAGCCTTTTTGAATGTTAAAGGCAAAAGCTTTCAGTGGGAGGAAAAAAATGCTTCAATTACTTGGTTTAAGAGAAATAGAGACATGCTGACCCCTAGTGGCGAATCTGGGGAATGGCTTTTAAAGTAAACCTAGACGCAGTGCTGTGCAGAATCACACAGCTTTGCAATATACATTTCTCAATGTGGTGTCTGCTAAGTGTTTGTGCAGCTAAGGGCAGTCTCATCTTTTGTATTGAGTTTTACCACGCTGACACACACAGCAGCCCCCAACGATGGTGTGGGAACGCCACCATTTGCAGTGGTACAAAATTAAGGTTTAACCCATTTCATAGTAGAGATTTCTTAGAGATCTGAAGTTAGCAAATTCCGTGAACGAGATCACTTTAAAAGCCAACACACAGTCTTCCATTTCATTGGTGTCAGAGGAATATCAGGCTCTTATTTTAAGCTGTCTGTTGTTACTCGGCCTTGATGGTGAAAATTCTGTTTTTTCAACTAAGCAGCAAATCGTTGAGCATAGAATCTATGTGAGGACTAAATACAATGACTCAGGATCCCTGCCAACACGGTGCCCGGCACGCAGCGCATGCAGCTAATGTTAGGGGCATCCTCGTCATCCCCACTAGAGTGGCATTCTGCCCAAAGCACATGTCACACTTGGCAGGGGCCAGTGCCACGCAATCATGAGGAGCATGAATTACCAGAAGCACAGCGACTTGTATGATATGAGGGGATGGTCTTTATAGGAAGAGCACTGGAACCAGAGCACCAGGGAAAACGACGTCTACACAACCAAAGTCTAGTTATCCCCTCTCTCCTGCTTTAAAGACAAAAGACCCCTTTCTCCATAGAATCAAAGGCATTTACAGTGTCATCATCAACACTAGGGCTGGGTTTTATTAAACACAGCACCCAAGGCTTTCTTCCCAGGTTAAACCCTGTCCCACGGGTGGGTGCAGGCTACCGGTACCAGCTCATTAAATACTTCAACACAAGAGGAATATTTCCTCATGAACACTTGAGGAGAGCAGCTATCAGATAACCAGTTCAGTAGAGTCAGGGGAGGGAGGGAGGGAGGGAGGGGGAGGGAGGGGGGGAGGGAGGGAGGGAGGGAGGGGGAGGGGGGAGGGAGGGGGAGAGAGAGAGGGAGGGAGGGAGGGGGGGAAGGGAGGGAGGGAGGGAGGGGGAGAGAGGGAGGGAGGGAGGGAAGGGGAGGGAAGGGAGGGAGGGAGGGAAGGGGAGGGAAGGGAGGGAGGGAGGGAGGGGGAGGGAGGGGGGGAGATACCTGCAGGTTTTCAATTTCTTCTTTGTGTTCCCTCTTCAAGTGCAAGATAGCAGCTTGGTATTCTGTAAGATCACCAAAAAAAAAGAACCAGTTACACAGATGTACAAAAATGAGTCAGAAAATTCACGTGAGCACCCTCTCCGAGCGCCCAGAGGCAGCCCTACAACTGAGCATCATTTCCTGGAACCCAGAGGCCCTGTAACCAGTGAGTTGAGCAGGTGCAGCAGGGAGAACAGGTCTGGCCAGCGCCATCTTGGCCACATGGTAGAGGCTAGGGCTTGGCATCGTCTTCGTGGTGGGAAGGCGAAGCCTTCCCCACCAGGTGATGGGTGTGCCCTCATCCCTGGAGACGGGGCAGACACCTGTCAGCCCAGTGCCTGGGACTGGGAGGTTCCGGTGACTGCCCCCAACCCAGCCAGCTCGCCAGGGCCGGCCATGTGTCTCTGGGTGCCTGTCATCTGCTGTCTCCTGGCTGTGCTCCAATAAGGACTGACTCAGGTGTTTGTCTTCAAGGAGGAATTAGTTTAGCCCCGCAGAGAACAAACAGAACCAACACAAATGTGCTAGCAGCGGCAGATAAGTGAGATCCGAGGAGCCTATTTTTTAAAAGCCCACGTGAAAGCTCATCTACTGAAGCACTAGGCCTGATTTCGGTCTTGAGATCAACCCCGGAAAGTCAGGAGTCTAAAGCTGAGGCTGAATTTCTGGCCCAATTTTCATCCAGATTCCAGTGCATCACACACGGATCACTATACACACGTGGACCCCGGATTCCTGTGCATCACACACAGATCACTATACACACATGAACCCCGGATTCCTGTGCATCACACACAGATCACTATACACACGGGGACCCCGGATTCCTGTGCATCACACACGGATCACTATACACACGGGGATTCCTGTGCATCACACACAGATCACTATACACAGGGACCCCGGATTCCTGTGCATCACACACGGATCACTATACACACGGGGATTCCTGTGCATCACACACGGATCACTATACACACGGGGATTCCTGTGCATCACACACGGATCACTATACACACGGGGATTCCTGTGCATCACACACAGATCACTATACACACGGGGATTCCTGTGCATCACACACGGATCACTATACACACGGGGACCCCGGATTCCAGTGCATCACACAGGGATCACTATATACACGGGGACCCCAGATTCCTGTGCATCAGACACAGATCACTATACACACGGGGACCCCGGATTCCTGTGCATCACACACAGATCACTATACCACGGGGACCCCGGATTCCTGTGCATCACACACAGATCACTATACACACAGGGATTCCTGTGCATCACACATGGATCACTATACACACGGGGATTCGTGTGCATCACACACAGATCACTATACACACGGGGATTCCTGTGCATCACACACAGATCACTATACACACGGGACCCTGGATTCCTGTGCATCACACACAGATCACTATACACACGGGGATTCCTGTGCATCACACACGGATCACTATACACACGGGGACCCCGGATTCCTAGACCATATCAGAACTTAGAAGTCAGAGCACGGTCTTGAGGTTGAGTCCCAAACCATGTGCTCAGATACCTAAGCCCGAATCAATCCCAAGCCTCTGAGACTCACGGAAGGAGCATAAGTCAAGCAACCTTCTTGCAAAAGTAGTGCATTTTGGGAATCGCATTTGCCCTGTGAATAAAAATTACACAGACCATATTCTGAAATTGTCCCTCTAAGGGTGTGACGCTGTGGCTATCACTAATTCGTTAGTGTATTAACCAAGGCCACTCAGCAACACCCATTATTCATGTCCTTAAATCAATATTATCCTGCCATCGGTACCATAGCTACAGGTGTCAGGAAAACACTCCCATCCTGGTAAGAATGACAAGACAGTCTCTAGGGAGTGTGCAGGAGGAATAAACCCTCCATTCTGAGAGCTCACGGGGAGTGGAGCAGAATAGAAAGGCTGTACAACGATGGCTCTGAGTCGAGGTGCGCGATGACTCCACAATGTGACTTACTAGTGCGGCTACTCCCCACACAGTGAGGAGTTCAAACCCACAGCATGGGGAGGTGGTGGGTCACACAGGTCAAGTATGAGGATGGTCGTAATGGTAAAGAGAGCCTGCCCCGGTGTCCCGTAGCGCTGGAGCTCTGGAAACGCACTGGGACAGGAACCTGAGCCCCAGCAGGAGTTAATGAATGAATTAAAATGTCCCTGTCCACAGGAAGGAAGCCTGACATATGTCTTTAAAAAAGGGATTTATTACATGAAAGATGAAAAATACGAAAGGCTCCTGCATGGAAGAATTCAGCATTCCGAGGAAAAATATGAAAGACCTGCCCTCCATAAAAATAAAGCTCTTTCTAGTCAAGTATTTAATCTAATTGGTGCCTTTTCTTTTCAGAGCACCAATCTGCCTTTTTTTTTAATCACTTTACGGAACCAAGTATCTGTGTACACAGAAATGACCAGCACACATTCCCAGCTTTGTCTCCTCAAGGCCTCTGAAATGTCTGAGAATATCTCAAGATTTTCATTCCAGTGAGAACTCATGGGACACGGGGGGTTCTTAGAGAATCTTACCCAATTCCGTGGCACACAGGTGTGAAAAGCTTCAAGAAAAGTACACCTATGGGGGGGGGGTGAAAGTATCACTCCCCAACACTAGGTGGCAGTCACAACACTGCACAGCTAGACCAAACCGGCTCCACCACCCCGAAGGACAAGGTCGAGGCGGCGGGCGGTGGCCGCCGGTATCACCTGTCTTCTCTGCAAAAGGTAGGTCTGTGTGGACGCGGAACCCGCTGGGGAAAATCAGAACAAGTGCAGCGAACTTTAAAAGTTTCAGGTGAGCCTGTAGCCTTCCAGTTGTTACAGGTTCACACGGCTTGGTTCTGGGAACCCAAGAACACATGCGTTTGTTAAAAACACATGTAATATTAAAACTAGTACGTGTGGGTGTACATATGCACGTGTTTGTGTGTGCATATAACATTATGTAGATGTGCATGCATATTGTACATATATTAGATTGCACATGCCATATGCATATTGTGTGCCATGTGTATATGTATGTCTATGTTATGTATATATCTACATATACACCTGCACATATAAATACATATACTGTATGCATAGATCACAACAAATACTTTCGTACAATTACTTTTTTTTCTTTTTGTCGGTCATGGGACTTGAACTCTGGGCCTAGACACTGACCCTGTGCTCTTCAGCTCAAGGCAATACTCTACTACTTGAGCCACTGCACCACTTCCAGCTTCTGAGTGGTTCATTGGAGATAAGAGTCTCATGGACTTTCCTGCCTGGGCTGGCTTTGAACCGCGATCCTCAGCTCTCAGCCTCCTGAGTAGCTAGGATGACCGGCGTGAGCCTCCAGCACCCAGCTTACAATTACTTTTTAAAAGAATTTAAAAACAAGCTGGGCACTAGTGGCCCACACCGGTCCTCCTAGCCACTCAGGAGGCTGAGCTCTTAGGATGTAGTTTTGTATCTTCAATGAACCACTCAGAAACCAGATATGGGGCCTGTGGCTCACGTAACAGAGCACTGACCCTGAGCACAGAGAAGCGCAGGGACAGCGCCAGGCCCTGAGTTCAAGACCAACAACTGACAAAAAAAGAATTTAAAAACATTACCCCTAATTAATATATCTTAGAAACGAATAAGAAAAAGCAAGCAATTAAAAAATGGGTAAAAGAACAGTAAACTCAAGGAAGAAGAGCTCCAGTGGCTAATTGACATGAAGAGATAATTTCACTTGTCTTTAGCGTAAGTTAAAATTAGACTTCAAACACATAAATGCCATACTATCTACCCTGGAGAGTTTATGGTACTAAAACAAGTGTAAAGAAGTCCATGGGATTAGTAACAAACTCACTCAGGGGGAGGGGAAGGGAAGCTTCCAAATGTATTTTTAATGCTCTGTGTCTTTGGAAAGTAAGTGAATATAATCATGAAGCTGATGCAGCTAACATCATACACTTACAAAAAAAGCTAACAAATCTAACAACAAATGTAATCATCACCATGCTAAGAGATATATAGTACACCAATGACAGAAACTGACAAGTCAAACAAAACACAAGAAATCCAAAGAAACATGGTCATACAGACTATGATCTCTTTCTGTAATGTAACTAAATTATATCGATACTAAAAGAATAGACTAAAATTGAGAAAATTAAAAAACCAAAATCAGCAAGTTTAATTTTGAACAATTATATACGCAAGATTTATTTTAAGAAGGCAAGAGATACATGTTCTCTGAAGTTCTTGGAATGGTATCTACCATATAATGGACACATGGAGAAAACCCACTATGTGAAAATATGAAAATGATGCAGAAAAAAATCTTGGTAAAGTGAAAGCTATTCTTGCTTTTTAAAAAAGAAAGCCTCTTAGCTCAGCAGAACGGGAAGGATCCCTATTTTTCAAGACCTTTTAGCAGTCTTCAGCAGTTAGGTGCACTTGGGGCCAGAGTGAGAATGCCCTTATCTGCTTGCTCCGGGGCTAACGGGGAGCCGGTCACGCTCCAGTCCCGTAGCTGTTTCCACAGCGTCCTGCCCTGCTCACCACTGGGAGCCAGCGCTCAGAACATGCTTTGCACCCGAGAGACGATTGAGGTGCTTTACAATGGTCACAACGTATATGGGATGGGGGGGAGGCTTGGCAGACCCTCGCCGCCCCGTGCTCACACGGAGCGAGGGACTGCCTTCCACGCAGTCCTGCACAAGGAGGCCCACACACAACGCCGGAGAACTAACTGCAATAAGGGCTGACCAAGGGGAACAGCACAAGGCTCTAAACACAGAAGAAACTGAGGCGAAATGTTTCCATGCGGATGGTTAATAACCAAGCACTAATTTTAAGGTGAAATGTTTCCATGCGGATGGTTAATAACCAAGCACTAATTTTAATTTCTCTATTTTTCAATTATTTTGAAATTACCCATGAATCTCTCCTGTAAATAATATGTTCAAATTTTCACACACATATAAGTGTATATATACACACTTATA